TTCACAGATGAGTAAACATATATTTAAACAAAGTTCGTGGTTAAAAATAGCAAAGATTCATTTTGACAAAATTACAACACAAACGGACCTGACAATTGGAATAAGTAACATTTCCAGATGACGATGTGGTTGCCTGACGACCACAAAAGCCGGGGCAACTATTGACGGTAGCTAGTCGTGACACCCCCGACCCATCATCTACCATTTTATGTCATACCTGAAAATTGCAATAACACATAACCAAACCGATGATTCTCATACTATTTGAAAGAAAATTATACAAAAGAATGCCGAGATAAAATAGTCACAAAAAAAAAAAAAAAGAAGGGAATTCCCTCTGCTAAAATTCATACACACCAAATAACCAATTATGCATCTACTAAGCACTGAGCTAATTAAAGCTGATTTGTATAAGAACAAATGATTTACAGTTTAGCTAATCTGGTGACATATATATTGTTATTTCGATAAACCTCTGCTACCATGCATTTTACAGCACCACAAACTGAGCCAAATAACACTTCTAACTTGAAATTCCATGCAACTTTCTGACTCCTTCAACAGAACCCTCGTCATACTTTTAGCGGCCCTATGTGAAAACGTCACGTCTACACTTTAGCATTGTAGCGAAAATTCAAACGCAAATTTATTGCAAATATTAATCAGCGAATCAAACAATAACAATGTCATTTCACATTCAAAGAGAGTTTTGTAACAATGATAGGCTAATTAGAATATACGATACTGCTATTACATCATTTTAATGAAAGTTATTAAAAGTTATGAGGCGGAAGGATTTTTAGCAACAATTCAAATCAGTTAAATCGTGCAGGGTATTTAAAAGTATTCCGAATTAAAGTGCTATCAAGTATGGTATTGAAATGATGAAAAAAGAAACAACTATATTTGATTATTCTGAGATTTTTCAAAAATTAGAATAACGAGATAATAACAGACGAGAGCTTTTAAAAGATGACAACTGTTTTCCGTCTTCTCAAGTTGAAGAAAATAAAATAAAATCTGTTATGAAATTATGAAATCGAGTAGAAAATCATGGAAGTCCAGTGAGGAGCAACCTTTTCGAAGGTATGGATATTCGTAGAGGACTTTTGAATCATTGCTTCAATTCTTTATTTCGTTGTCGTCGATGCAGAGAATTTTCTAAAGCTTTATCTGAACTCCTTCTTAAATCATTCCAAGTGAGGAATGTCACATCATCGGCTATTTCTGATCTCTTCAGCTCCTTCAACTCTAAGTTATGCTTTGTAATAGTCCTTTGAAGGATTGTGATATGCAAAACTGAATAATACAAACTTTTTACTCCCTAATTCATATTCTTGAATTGGAATGAATATTGGTAAAGCTACTGTGATTTGATTTTCTCAAGCACATAAAAACTGCTGAATGCGTTGTAGAGAAAATTCCTGAATCTTCATCAGCAATCCAAAGATTTTAACACCAGTTTAAAAGCACTAAACAATTTCTATACATACTTAAATGCCATGAACAGGTAGTATTCTTGACGAAGTATAAATTAGTTTAAACCTTAGATGGTGCTCTTTCAGTGTACACTTCCGGCTGGACAAATAATCTGTTTGTCTTGCCCACTGAGTCAATGCTGCATAAGTTAGACTATGTGAAGAAACCAAAAAGAGTCTGTATCATCCAATAAAGAGCAATTCCCGTTAGGCACATGAAATATGCAAAAATGATGATCAGCAAGGAAGAAATTATTGGATAATCGTGAAGAAAGACACGTAATAAACCAAAACGAACCCTGAATGAGAGTTTTCCTGATTCCACCTGAAATGGAATTATTGGATATTCGTGAAGAAAGATTCGAATATTCAAAAAATACTTCGAATTCATCATTCTTTTATGCTTTACGATACGTTAAGGAATACCTCAATAAAGCGATTTTGAAGTTGTACATAAAGTAATGTGGTGTTATCTAGATCACTGTCAACAAAATGATTGGTGAATGAGACTTCTAATTTACGATTATCTGATATAGTCAACAATCCAAGAAAATAAGCAGGAAAGAATAGTGTTTGGCATGCCTGAAAGAAATTATAGTCGTTTAGATCTCTATAAAATATCACAAATTATTGCTTCCTTTAATATCTAAAAACTAGGCAGTATTAGATATTCACTTTTTTTGAAACCTGTTTCCCTGAAGTTGAAGCTTAAATTTAAAGGAGTTACCGATAACCATGCATGAAATGTGTATATTAGTGCATATAAATGTTAGTAAAGACAAAATTTATTTTTGATGGCTGATTTTTGTCTATTTCTATTAGCAAATATGATTTCTTCGAATCTCAGAAAATTTTCTGGCAAAAGCAACATATTCATTCATAAGAAGTACTATTCGTTTCAGATAATTTATTTATTTAAGATTAATGTAACGTAAGTATCAGCTCGTGCTGATAACTGAAAACTGATCCGTAACTTTTACTGAGAATTTTAATTGAATTCTAATTCTAATTATTTATTCAACTTTAAACACATTTAGTTTCAACTATATGAGCAACTATTCAATAACAAGTGACTAAAGGATCAATGAAAAAATGAAGAACTGATCCTAAGCTTGCAAATAACACTGATGTTGTAGACTCTGAGTACTTGATTAATGATAATGATAAAATAATTTAAAAGATTTTAATAATTATGGAAAGAGATAATTTATTTTATTCAACCAGTGACTAACCAAATTCCACCATCCTTGAACTATGCGATATATCAAACTACGATGTCTATTCACAAAACACGACTTCCGAAATGTCCTTTTCATATTTCTTGGGTCAGTTGGATCAACCAACTCAACAACGGCTTGAAAAATGCCAACATTTGAGGCGATCGTTGATTCTGATAGAATAATTTCAATGCTAATTTCATAATTTTCTCCCGGTGATAATTTCAGCTTTTCCTGCAAATGATAAATGGGTTATTTCAATTTTGGCTATTATCTTCTCTCCTACTGTTGACATAACGGTCTTTCGACAATTGCTTCTTCTGAATTGTGCAAAAGAAAGGCTTACCACCGAGAAATCAACCACAGCAATTGGAAATGAGCAAACACCAGCAAGTTGTTCACGACATGTCTCAAAATTGAAATGCAACGGTACTGTATATTCCACTAATGAAGGAAGCAGAAGTTGTCTGAAAATATTTACAATAAGAACTGTTTAATGTTTCTCATTCTTGCATAAATTCAAATTTACTTAAACTAAAACTAACTAAACTTGATAACATCAAAGTAACAGCAATATGAGGGATGTAAAAATTAACATCAATAGTAACAAATAATATAAAAAGACAAAACAAAAGTATCAAATTCAAACAAAGGACAACAAAAAGAAAAAACAAGAACAAAACAGAATAGAATGTATTTATATGCTGCAAAATCCTGTAAGTAGTAACCTGAGAAGAAAAGGCGAAATAACAGCTAAAACAAAAGCACCAAACAATTGGATTGTTGCAGTGATAATGTGATAAATTGTAAACCTATCACGTATCCATGAACTGATCTTTTCCATCACAAGCATTCATCTATTCCTTCAACTACACTCAAATTAAAAAAAAAATCAGTTAGGCGACCGAACGACTGTATCGGATTGGGACAATCTTGAGAAAACTCCAAGCACAGTGTTAAAACACCTGGATGAATTCAGTGCAAAATGTGTTATACAGAAAATCATGTTTCTCTGGGATTCTGTCTTTACCTGACAGCGTACCACACTACCTTTCAGCGATTAAAATTAGTGCCGTGTAGTTCGGTGGGAACCTAATTCGATACAGCATTGAATAATTAATAATAATTAACAACAATTATTGCCATCATTAATTAGTAATGATCATTAATTGTAATACTGATAATAATAATAATTAATAATGGTAACAATAACTAATAACAGTGATAAATAACAATAATAACAATAATAGTAATAAATAATAATAATAATAATCAATAACAATAATAATCAATGATAATAACAACAATAATAATAATAATAAGATAACAATAAATAAATATATAATAATAAGTAATAATAATAAATAAATAATAATAATAGTAATAAAAATTAATAATTGATAAACGTACTGCAATGTGCACTAACGTAAATTTTCGCTTAAACTGAACACTGAGAAAGGAGGAAGTAATAAGCATTATCAATTAGCATTGTAAGATAAGGCGCTCTCTGCATGGCTTATTATGTGTCGAGGCGCAAAAGAGCTGAAGCAAACGAAAAGAGTGATCGAGTAGATTTTATATCTATGAATCAATTTAGTAATGAAAGTTATTCCAATTGATACTTACAAAAATATAATAGCATAGGTAGAACGAAAAATATGTGATGAATCTTAAGCTCTAATGAAAGTAAAAATAAAACTTCAGAGAGCCACAAATATTGTAAATTTTTCGAAATGAAAACATTACAGATAAAAATAAATGAAAATGAATCTTTGATTAATTGAATTTCAATTAATTCTTAACACTGTCTTAATTACGAAGATACATGGGGCAAAGAGAGTGAGGGAGAGAGAGAGGAGAGGGAAAGAGAAAGAGAGAGAGAGGGTACATCTCTGAAATAACTCCTTGCAATCAGTTCTACTCAATCTTTTGTCTAAACTGGGAACATTATGCAAATGTTACATTTCATGGATTTAATGAAAAATGAAAATTATGGTAGATGATTGTTTTAGCAATAAGTTACACATTTGTTATGAGATAAACTTTTAAATAATGCAATAATACATTTAATTAATTTATTTCATCCATTCATTTTTATTGATTTATATAAGAAAATTTGCATATTATGAAAAAGAGTTATTGTGAGAAAATTTTTTGCTATTTAAATTGTAAAAATTATTTTTTGATAGTAGTTTGTTATTTGATTATTTGCTCCTAAAGTTTATTCTTTTGCTATTATTAATCATCGTACAAGCGGACATAAATTTAATCATTAATTAAAAAAGAAAAAAAAAATTAATAAGAAATGGTAGAATTTGATGGTGCACATTCATTGTCATCTTCCGCATCACAAACATTTGAAGATCAAAATCGTTTACCGCAAATTGATGATATTGTTAAATCATCAAATCGTACCTATCATTTGATTGCTATTTTAGGTGAGGGTGGATATGGGAAGGTATTTCATGCAATACAAAATGGCAAGTGAGTCATTAAAGGTTAAAATTAGAAATATAAATTTTTTTCTTTTCGATTTTAAAATTTTTTTCATTATAATTAATCAAATATTTATAATGTCTCTAATATTTAATATTGATATGAAACTTAACTTAAATTATTTCAAATTAAAATTATGTTACTATTAATTATTTATTAATTTATTATCATTATTATTGTCATTAATTATTGAATTTCAAGTATGATAAAATTCTTATTTATATTTAAATTTTACATAAATATTAAATATTCAACATATACATATTGATATTTAATTTATTCTTATCAAAGATTTATTTATTATTATTATAATAAATGAATGGAAAAGAAGAAAAATCTTACATTGATTTATAATTTATTTAATTACATTCAATTTTTAGAAGTTATGCATTAAAAGCAGAAAATATAAAAGTTCAATGCTTCATATTGAAATTGCTGTGCTAAAAACAGCACTGAAACGAGGAGCTGAGCATATTTGTGAATTGCATGATTATGTAAGGTTTTTTGTTTTTTTTTTAAATTTTCAATTTAAACTATAAGTAGCAAAATTAATTAATTATTTTTAGCAATTGGATCTTATTGTTTATGAATGAAACAAAATTTTAAGAGTTTAAGTGATTATAATTTTGCTAAAAGGAAGCAATGATTAAAAAATATTATCATTTTTTTTTTTTTGTCATTTATGTATTATTAATAAATTTAATGAGTGGAAGATATTTTTGAAAAGAATAATTTTCTATGCTCTCTCTCTCTCTCTCTCTTCTAAGATATATTGTTTAATTATTGAAATAGAGTAGAAATTATAATAGTTTTTGATAAAAATGCTGTAAAAATTATGAATTCTAATAATAATTAACATTTTTAATTTTTTTTTTTTTGTTTTAGGGTGCAGTGAAACCAGACTTTGTATTTATGGTAGTAACACTTCTGGGCAAAGATTTATACAAATTACGTAACGAGCAACCTGATCGACATTTCTCGATCAGTTCTGCAGTTCGTGTTGGTATACATACCTGTAAAGCTATTGAAGAATTGCACAGGTAAGCTAGTAGATGCATAATAATTGTTAAAAAAAAAAACCGTTTGTGCTAGTTTTTTGTTTTTCAAAATAATTTTTGAAAATGATTTTAATTTATTAGCCATAATTAGCAAATTCTAATTCTTTGCTTTTTTTTTTAGATTTCTAAAAATATTTTTCAAGTATGTTTTTTTTTTTTTTAATTTAATAATCTTATTTAATAAATTCTAATTCTTTGTTGTTGTTGTTGTTTTTTTTGTAATCAACAAATATTCGTTGTATATTTTGAAATATTTTATCTTTTTGTTTTTAATTTAAATTTTTGTAAATTTTTTAATTTAAGCTAAGTTCCAAATTTACAATTTTAGTAAATAAACAAAAAAAAATTATTACTTTAAGGATTGTATATATATATTTTTTATTTTCATACACACAAATTACTTTTATTTTTTTCAGTTGTGCATTTCTTTCACGTGATATCAAACCAGGAAATTATGCAGTTGGATTGGAAATTAATAAACAACATAAAAGATTTTTCTTATTTGATTTTGGTCTTGCAAGACGATATCTTGATAAAGTAAGGTTTAATTTTACTTAAATACATTATTTAAATAAATTAATTGGATTAAATATATTGTTAAAATTAATTCATATTTCAATGATTGCAAATAAATTTTAAAATGATAAAATACAATGAAAACTTTCTAATCATAATTATGAAAAAATTTTTTTTTCCTCGAGATTTACTATATTTTTTCGCGGTTTTTTTTTTTTTTTTTTTTTTTGGAGTAATATTCCATATTACTTTTATAATTCTTATTTTTCGTTCTCATAACTTTTAGTTCTCATAATTCCTACTTTTTCTTTTTTATAACAATGATAAGAAAAACGAAAGAGAATACTTATTATCAAATCTTGTTTTGGTTGTAGAATGGTAAGCATCAAAAATCGAGAGGTGAAATTGGTTGGCGTGGTACCACTCGATATGGTTCACTGAAAGCTCATCAAAAGCAAGATCTGGGAAGACGAGATGATCTTGAATCGTGGTTTTATTGTTTGGTAGAAATTACCTGTGGTATGTTACCATGGCGACATGTTGCTGGTATAACTTTTA